AAGGATTTCCTCACTTGGTTCTTTGATCAGGGGTCTTCTGTATCCTTGATAACGGATTATTGGGCTGCTTTAACCAATACTTTCCATTTTTCCTGGTAATATAAAGTTTTTACCTCTCCTACCCTTTCCCCCCCTTGTTGGGTTATTTCTGGATTGGAATATTAATGTGGTTCTTCACTGCCTCACTTTACCTTCATTTGAACATTTGGCCTCGTGTTCAATTATCCACTTGTCACTTAAGACTTATTTCCTTCTCCTTTTAGCCTGTGGACAGTGTTAATCGGATTTATTTGCCATCAACATTTCACGTACTCTTTATCATTCCACATATGTTCTCCTTTATCTAGATCAATATTTTCTTGCCAAAATTTCAGTGGCTAGAAAGGGTAATTCCTCCTTCTCACCAATTTCCCTTCCTTCCATTTCCCACTTTTGTCATAGGGTGGATCTGGATAGACTACTGTGTCCTGTCCATGCTCTTCATTGTTATGTTGCCTGCATGTCTTTCTTCCATGGTACCTGTACCTGCCTGCTCATTCCTTGGCAGACATCCTCTGTTCCTAACCTTTCTCCTTCCACCCTGACCAGTTGGGTTCAGTTGTTAATTTGATTGGTCTTATTCTTCCTTATCGTCATCTTCCCATAATTTATTTCAGGTGTCTTCTCATCACACACTGCTGAGAAGGGGTGTTCCATAAGATCACATTTAATTTTATCCTCACAATATATTTGCTTCATTAATATGTCCGTTCTGGATAGTACTCACCCATGTACTTCATGGGTAAAGCAGAAAGAGATAGCTGCTCATCCCTGCCATGCTTTAGATTGAATAAATCTGGTGTGGTCTGTTTTTCAAAATAAGGTTTTTATGGTCACCTGTTGCACTGTCTCTGGTGTTGTTGTTCCACCAGACTCTCCACCGCATTTTCTCTCCCCTTTCAAATCCAGTGTAGTATAAGTGTCCTTACCACTTTCCCATTCCAAGCTGCTGGGGTGGTGGACCATGGAGCTTTCCTCCTTCATAATAATTAAAATCATTCAGTTGAGAGTAGGGTGGTGGTGTTCTGCTGGTATAGATGACCTTCACTATATATAATTGGAGTAGGCTGTCAATATTGCAGTTTACCCCTCTGATTTGGATCCCTCATCTTACCACCACGTGGAAGCTGGTTCCCAGTGGCTGGGTTTTGGATTTGGAACTGAACCAATCAACATATGTCTTCACACATGGATTACAGGTATCTATATTTTGTTACTCGATTATTATCTTGTTCCACCATCAGTGTTGTGGGTCATGATGGTAGTACTTAATCATTCATATGGTTCTTCCTCTGATGCTATCCCAAGATGATTTTATTGTATCAAGGATTTTATTGTGCTATGGGTGGTTCCCATCTGTTTGTTTTACGTGAGATGGTTCACATTACAGAGACATCATTACGATACCAAATGTCTGGTTCCTGGATCATCAATCAATTCATCATAATATCGTGTGTTACATTCATAGATATGGGAGTACAAGATCCCCCTGGTCTGATGAACTTCAGGTGGAGATGGTATGATCCTCTTTCCTACCCCCTCGTGGATGTCGGTACCCAACGGCCTGAGATTTGGATGCAGTTGACTTGCTGTGTAATGTCCATTGTGCCCTAGCCACTTTACACCTGGAGACACATTCTTTTACTCTAACCTTGTCCAACCATAGTTCTCTCTCTTTTGGATGTGCCCCTCCCAATTTCTGCCCATGTCTGCAACATCTCTTTTCCCCACTGGGTGAAGAGAATACCTGGTACAGAAGTGGTGCAGTCTCCCATGTATGATCCTCTGATGCAAGGATCTGATCTTTGAAGGTGTCCATCAATGCTTTCGCAGATGCTTCTTTTTTTTCCTTTGCACTAGTCCCTCCACCTTTTCAATGTGGGATTCAAGCCATATATGTGAGAGGAGGTAATGTACCATACTGAAAGTTATAATTTTCCTATACTGAAAATATATTTCAGATAGGTACTTACCTCCTCCCCACTCAAAGCCAGTGCTTCCATTTTCTGCCAAAACTGGAAGTGATAGTTTGGTAGAATTGAATGGAAGGAGGCCAATGCATCAGGAGAGTTTTGGTGGAGAATTGTCGCATGATGATTTGCATGTGAGACACATATGAATCAATTGATTGTAAGACACGTGGGAGCTTAATGCTTTTGACATGTGGAAAAAAAAATTTTACTTATAGAAGGCAGCACAGAAAAAGAATAGCTATTAATGTGAGAGGAGGTAAGTATGTATTGGAAATACATTTTTAGTATAGGAAAAATATAACTTCAATTAACTGACTCTTTATTTTGGCCTATGACTGAAACTAGTCATTTTTAAGAATTTTTCTTTTATGAGGTTTTTTTAGGGCAGTAAACCTTATTAACTTTATTTATAAAGTTGTTTGAGAATGACAGAAAGTGATATATTTATTTTCATCAACAAAAACTCGCTAGTTTTAGTATAGCAATCTTGTGTCAGTTTGTTAGGACAAATTCACAGAATGCTATTAATCATATTTTCAGCTTGTTACAAGTTTTGTACTATGTTACTATATGATACATTTTTACATACATCAGTTTTAGGTTTTAAAAAGTAACTTAATCCTAAATTATAATCCCGAAGACAAAGTTTACTCTGGCATTTTTTTTTTCATCAATTTTATATGTTAATTCTAACTCTGGACAATTTTATCACAGAAATATTTTTGAATCAATATTTGGTCATTTTATAGCATGTACTCAGCATGGTCACAAGAAAATAGAAACCACCTTTTCAGAAAAAATGAAATTTTTCAGTCATATTCACAAGAATTGATATATTTATAATTTAATTAATATCTAGTAGATCTTCCTTTCGCTTTGTGGAGTTCGTTGATCCTTTGGGGCATTGTGAGAATCATCTCGTCAATTTTAGATTGTGGGATTTTCGCCCACTCATGCTTCAAAACTTGGAGTAGATCGCTTTTTGAAGTTGGTTTTTTTG